TGTTTTTTTTTTTTTGCGCGTTTGGCGCGTTTTTTCCCGCCTTTTTTACGCTCGCCGTGTGTTACGCGCGCGCCGAGCTGGATGACGCGAACGCACGAGCGGTACAGTTACATTTTATTATTGGTAATGTAATTACGATAGAGTAGTTTTGATATCGCTCCCTCGACTCGCTTGTAGCAGTTGTTTTGTTATACGTTTCTACAACTCAGATCGTGGGTTTCCGCTCGATACCTTGTGGCTTACACTATTTTGAACGGCACTCTATGAATAATCGTGTGAGCGTAGATTTGATATAGAGAATCCTTCTCGAAAATCTAACAAATAACTCTATTTACTGGTTGAGTAAAGTAATACACAATACATAATAAATAAAATACACAACATTAATATTATAATGAACTCATTAGTCTTTAAGGGAATTTCACATGCTGTAGTGGCTCAGAGGTTTGCTTTTGGAAATGTGAGTCGAGAGTTCGGATCCTACATTCAACAAGCATTTTGTTCATTTTCGTTGTATAACGTATAAGTTCTAAAATATACATATACATATGTATAAACATACACTATTGCTTACTTTTCGGTAAAATTTAAATATGACAGAGTCTGTAGGGATGTATTCTGATTCTCTCTACCTTCTTTGAGGGCGTTTCCAACTTCTCTCGACTTCCATCTCATGTGCCGCAGCACAATCAGTTCCAGGATCTGCATACAGTTCCTGAAAATTTCAAAATACGAACATAAATCAATGGTAGAAAAGGATAAGAGACAATCTTTAACTTAGAACGACAGCTAGATAACTATTACTTTTCTGGAGCATATCAAAATATGTACTGTCTGCTGTACTCTGCAATTTCTAGCGCAAAGCACTCACAGTATTCGTGTGAATTGTATGTGTGTACGGCTGTTTAGTGGGACGCGATATTGTGTACCCAATCATATATTTATTATGTCCTATTAAAAACAAATTAAGGGTATCCGTATATGAATTTATGAAAAAGAAATCAACGCGACATAATCCATCACTGTTGCATTAGTGTGTTCGTTTCCACGGGTCCGCGTAGTGACAGGATTTGCCGGTCGAATTGCGTCGGATAATAGATTTGTATCTCGACAAAACGCGCATTAGTAGATAGCGAAACCGGCCGGGCCACGACTACAGTGGTGAGGATGATTTTTTTCGGAAAACATTGCCCTTATTTTAGGATAACATTGTAATATCCTGTATTTTAAGTACGTTTTACAAACGTAAATTTCACGTGGACAAACACAGATGCGAAACAACCATCTGTAGGTCACACATAATTATAGTTGTCCCGTGTGGGACTCGAGCCCACGACCGCCGTCGTCGAAGCCAATACCTTGGTTACTGGGGAGTCATCTAATTCGTAACATAATTTTTTTTTAATATTTTTAAAGCTTTTATAAATTTTGTACTACTATAGTGTTGAAAAAATCTTGAGTTCTTGAGACAATTCGATTCTCCATTTAGTTACAAGCAACAAGAAGAACGACCTTGTTTACGTATTGAAATAAACTACACACATTTAATTTTTCAACCGTCTTCAAAAACCGAGGAGTTTCTCAATTCGACTGTATTTTTTTTATGTTTGTTACCTCATAACTTTCGACTGGGTAAACTGATTTTGATGATTCTTATTTGATTCGAAAGGTCGTTCTTCCCATGTGGTCCCAAAATAGTTTCCTTGGTATTGGACCTTGGGCTCCGGAGATACTTAGGGAACTCCGGAAAATCAATTATAAAATGTATACAGAGCGAGATATTTGAAGTCTGTTTTGTTTTTCGTTACTAAATATATTGATTTGTTGTATATTGTAAATGTTTATACATTACAACATTTCAGGTGGTCTAAAATATACGATGATGAGACTACGAAGTCTGCTTTCGAATGATAACAGTGTTTAACGACAAAGCATTTATGTTACATACTTTAGCCTGTGCTAATCACGATATACCACCGCGATCAAAGCCCTATTAACAGGTTTAAGAAATTTATTAAAGAAAAACTTTATAAAAAGGGTTATTATAATACAAATGAATACATTAATGACAATAACCCCTGGGAATGAGTTGATCGCTCCCAAGCTATTTCTAAAAGGAAAAAATCAGTTGTATAATATTTGAATTTTTTCTTAAGAAAAAAACAATAATTACAAAAAAGAGGATACCTACGGAGTTTCTTCTCCGCTAGAGGAACCTCATTACGAAACGGTGGTAGATTTAAAAAAAAAATATGACTATTGATAAATGAAATGTAAGTTTCTTATGTCGATGAATAAATGATTTTGATTTTTTTTGATTTTTTGAAAGCTATCGAAGGAGCGACAATGTGGCAAAGCTGTGTCCGATAGAGAGGCCGCCCGCGCCGTGGCCCAGCGATGAGAGCGTACCGTATTATCTGTTATTATGTCTGCACTACATCCGGTCGGTGGGTGTGTCCGACCAGCGTCAACTGAGCCCGAAGGTGACGACTCGCGACCGAGCAATCGCCACACTCACGTGCCACTGCACGGCAACCGAATCACGCCGGCAACCTACTCGATGATCATATTGTTGGCGAACTTTCCTGTTTGGTTTGCTATTTTCAATCGACAACTGGATAGTGACTTGACATACACACCTAATGTAGTCCTAAGTTATTTTATATTCGTTTAACTACTCGTATTTGAAAGGTTCGGTTTCTTGTTGAGTATTTCGAAAGTCGTTGTCTTCTCCACAATGTACTACTTCCGAATTGGTATGATTTTCATTACGGTCTAACAATTGGACTTTAATGTTATATTATAAAACAGGGTTTTCCTTTCAAAAATTGCGGGAAACCAAACAAGCATTTGCCTAAATTTATCTATACGACTTCCGCTATAATAGAGTTTTGATTAATTAAGTTTTAATCTCTGATGTAGTGAAATTACATTTCCTTCTTTGATAATACCTATTTAATGTTTTACACGATACTTACTAGAACTATATTTGTGGATTTTATCGGTTCCTTATCCAATGGCCGACTTTCCGTAAAATTACCTAGCAAACGACGGAATGAAATCAAGAAGCAAACATACATCAGTAAGACAAGACACGAAGCATGTTCTGCTTTGGCCAGACGCAAAATAATAACATAAACTGATAAGTCGGGCTGCGACTTAATTGAAGTTCATCGTAATCACAAACGGCCTGAATAATTCGCAGTCAAAAATTAGTACATTAAATTAATTGCGGCGAATCGGGATTTGCTTTACTGTCACCGGTTTTAAATTTAACCAAAGAGAAAATAAAACCGCCCAAGTGCGAGTCGGACTCGCACACGAAGGGTTCCGTACCATAATCTACAAAAACGGCAAGAAATCATGTCTGTTGTATGGGAGCCCCATTTAAATATTTTTTTCTCTCTTTTAGTATTTGTTGTAGCAACAGAAATGCTTCATCTGTAAAAAAATCAACTCTGTAACTATCACGATTATGGAGATAAGTGGTGACAGACGGACAGACAGACAGACAGACAGACAGAAAGATAGATAGTGTAATATAGAATAACAGAAATGAGTTAGTAGTGTCTCCTTGCCTAATTACAATTAGTTGTCAAATAGACTAATTGAAAAGCAAGATTTATTTAATTAATATAGTTTGCGTTTATAGAGTCTTCACCGCTTCCTTATCTCTTTGAAATGGTAGTATATAAATAGATCGAAACAGCCGCCAGACTAATTTATTTCAACGCTAATTAACTCCCGTTTACACTTCCACAGCAATTCGCCAACGGGCTTATCTCCAGGGAAGGAATTCGTTGCGAAGTTGTAAGCAAGCGATGTTTGCAAGAAAAAAAGTTTACGTTTCGTACTGCGTTTCGTACAAGTCTCTCTCGACACAAAGAGCGGTTACCGCGTACTTGAACTTAACTTATCCGCGTCCATAGAAACTAGTTTTGGAAGTTTTCTTTTGTCCCCATAAATTTTTCACTTTCGCGAATTTATTCGATAAGCATTGGCTTTCTACCGGGGGAATGACTTTGCTTTAAAGTTATAAAATTCAGACAGGCGTCTGTTTGGTAGTGTGTGGAAGACCCATGAAAGAAATAATTACCGACAGAAGATTTTCTCTCAACACGACGGTTCTCCCGTTTCGTTTAGTCATAGTTAGAGAGAATTGTGATTAAAGGAAACGAATAAGACATAAAACGCTTATTTACGGATACGTTGCTGCGCGAATTGGCAGTTCCGTCCGGGTAAGTACCACGCCCTCACAGAAGACCGGCGTAAAGTCGAAGTGTTACACTTCTGCGTTTCGTCTGGTGAGTGAGCTTTTCAAATGAATTCTTAATTTCTTTTGTCGTTAAACTATGTGTACCTTCGGGCATCAGACATGTACTCGGCACTCTCGAATCATCTAGCTTTTGTAAACTAAAACTAAAACTAAAGACTATTTTATTTTATTAAAATTGTGTATCATAAACATTACCAAACATTATGACTTGCTTCCGGTTTTTCGTGTGGCCTAAATTTGGCAAAACCTGCGAAACTTTATGCTTTTAATAGATACCTGTTTGAGACCAGACTAGATTGGAATTACTGGTATTTATTTAATTTGTATTTAATTGCTAATAGAGCTGCAATCTGGCACTCTATTGAAGAAGCCTTTCACTACTTGAAGACATCTCGGTATAGCTTGCAGTGACGAGGAAGATGCCTCAATCATCAGCGGGACTTTTAGTTCGGGTGTGAAAGTTAACGATGAAGAACGGCGGCTTGTCAAGCAGCTATTCCGATGGTAGAATTATAGGTAGAAAAGGTGTTGCTATCAAGCTCAAAATATGAATGGGAAGTGCCGTGACCTAAAAGGACCGGAGAGGAGCGGAAAAGAGCGTTTCATTCGATTAGAGGGTAAACCAAGGTCCTTGGTTATTGGCAATGAAACTGCGAATCTTTTGCTGTTAAATGTCAATAGCTAGTGATGATTAGTTATCATTCAGAACCGCTCCACCATGTTAATAATTCCTGCCATCCGAGGGCATATAGTGGCTCTCCGTTATCTCGTACGTGGGCGAATGAATGCACTGGTGCAACGACAGAACCTTGCTTGACCTTTGGCAACTAGACCTAGGGACTATTTTTCGGGTCAAAGTTCCGCTGCCTCCAGGGCTTGAACCGTGACGTTTGAGGTCGATTTGTCGCGGGTCCGGACTTGCGGCCAGGTCGCCCTTCTGGGAAGCGTGTGCCGCGGCCTTGTCCCTGCCCAGACCGCCGCCAGACGTTTTTTCGACCTCAGCGGACCTGACGCCAAACCGGATCCACTGCGCCGCGGCGGCCCGTCCGAGCCACGAGCGACGGCGTTTCGCGATTATGGTAGTCTTTAAGAGATTCCCTCTTCAAAGAAGCAACTTCTAATATAAAGTGTAAAGAAAGTATACTAATAGTCACGGAGATACTGTATCAAAATTACGGAACGATAAGTATTAATAATAAAATTAAGAAAACTTTTCTCAAATTTGATTAGTCTGAAACTATTGTTGAAAATCATCATCAATGTTTCATATAACGTTACAACGTAAAATAATAAAGAATTAAAAAAATATTTTATGACAAAATTATGTAATCTTTATTCCACAAGAGCCACAATTAAACACCTATTTAATATTAATTAAATGCGAATAATCGTACTTTATTGTGATTTGATCAATTTTAGTTAAAATATTTTTTAATAAAACTATACCTCGACACACTTCAGTTGGATACTGTTAACGGTTCAAAAATAGGATGAAGTAGAAATAGAATTATTTTTATTTAAATTCAGTTGTTTAACAATAATTGGAAAAAAACATAATTAAGAAATATAACTTTAAGCGGGTTAATATTTAAGCTTATCATTAATTGTTACTTTATATTGGCCCGCTTGAAGTTAACAACTTGGAAAGCGAGCGTTTCACGTCGCGTCGCAACAGGCCAACGTGGGCTGCCGCCGGTTTGGAGAGGTTCCCTGAGATGGCTACATGCCAGTCTTAATCGACAATTAAACAGATGTAAGGGGAAGATTATCGTGCAACAACAGGATCTCGTTGTCCCATAGTTGCGCTTTAAAACGAAACGCCTCTGAACCAACCATACGCAAGTTGTCAGATTTGTAGGTCTGTTAGCGTGGAAATTACGCGAATAGTACTGTTTAGACTTACGAAATGGAATATCGTGAAATTTAGGGTAGCGGCTAAAAACTTCATGTATGTGGTCTACTTTGCGTCCTTCTCAAGTGCGTCGTGCTATTATGAGAGACCCAAAAGCTTATATACATAAAAACGATAAATCATCAATGCAATTCACCCCTTCGCACTGTGTTTAATATTCAGCCATCTTCGAAGTCCTTAAAAAATTCGAGTTACTGTCGTTAGCGATAGATATGATGCATTGATGATTTATTATTTTTTCTTTTAGGATTGTAAGAACGTTTTACAAACATAAATTTCACACGGACAAACACCCAGATGCGAAACAACTATCCGTGGGTCACACAAATAGTTGTCCCGTGTAGGAATCGAAGCCACGACTCGGACTCCGAAGCCGATACCTTGGCGACTGCGCCACGGAGTCGTCTACTATTGGTGACAAATCATCTGATGTTATTCGAAAGTACGAATTCAGATTGACTCTACTTCACGTCACTGAGCGAGCCCGAGCTTTACATACGCAATGCATTTTTAAAGAATCTGAGGAAACCGAGCGAAACGAGGCACTGGAGCGAGTGATTTTCGCATAAACGACTGGCTTCTTGATCAAGATATTAAAACGTCTATTTTTCCGTTTCTCGCGTTTCTCGCGTTTCGCGATCATTTGCTTTCTTTTTCACACATTGTTCCCTTTCCTTTTCTAGTCTTTTTTTACACATCTGTAGTTTAATTGCTTTTCGCACGCGTGTCATATAAATAGTATACAGTAAGGTGGTATGCATAAAGCAAACACGCCTAAAGAGGTTTTTACTCGAAGTAACTTTGAGTAATATTATTCTATGTTGGGCTTACATTGAAAAGTTGCACGTAGACCAACATCTAAATTTTTTTTTATATATGAAAAGTTGGCAAAGCCAAGTGATTCACCTGATGTTAATTAATTACCGTTGTTCATGGAAATCTACAACGCGTGAGTGATAGCAAAAGTGTTGCCGATCTTTAAACATGGGCCTAGGCTTGCTTACCAGAAAAATGGCGAAAATATTACAGTTCCATTATACTTCAGTCTTCTGTGATGCCGTGGGACTTCGTCGCACAAGCCTTTCTATCTGGGATCCAGAAGAAATCATTAAGTGGATCTACCGTGTGACCGTACCACTGAGAAAAACTTTCTTGGCCATACAAACTTTTATTCCAGCGGGAACCGAACTAGATCCAGACCGATAGCACACCATCAAGTATATATTTCTGTCTATAAAGTATCTATTTATTTGTTTATCTTTAATATTTAATTATCTATCTGTAATAACAAAGAGTATCTTTTTGTTTTATTGTACAGTGACTATTGAGTCTTCTTTCATCAAAACATAGTGTATGTTCATTCCATAGATTGCGATGGCGAAGTAAATATTGGTGTACAGAGCTTACAGAGCATGTGATATTTCAAGCAATCGATAACAACAACTTTTGTGAATACACGCTTATCAAAGTTCCAATGGACGTCAGAATATATGACTGGTTAACGAATCCATAAATATCTAGATAAAACACCGAGATGGTGCGTTGACATCATAGACACAAGTTTGTTATTTTATTAGGATTAATTTGCTTCCAATAGATTAAGTAAAATAAAATCATTATAAATTGGAAATAGCCTCGTATTTCACGAGAGTTACTTCGATTCATCTTGGTCCTTAGTTCCATAGGTCCGTAATGAAAACACCATTACAAATACGACAATTTACATCTAGATAATCTGAATGCTTAATTTTTAAGGAGGCTTGACGTCAGATCGGCGGCTGGTAGTAAAAAACTAAGTCAATATGTTTACAAAATGCGTTACAACTGTGCCGACTACAACTAGGTGGTATAAAGGCAAAGGTTAAGAGAAAAAAATTAAGGAGAAAGAAGAGAGACCGAGTGTGCGGTTAATAATTTATTCCACACACAGGTTCGTTACGGCCAAGTGGTATCTAAAAAAACGTTAAAGAGTTTAGAGTTTTTCGCCCATTTCGCACGAGTAATGATCACTATGGGGACGGATGAAATTGACGCGAAATCCTTACTAATATTTTAAACGCGAAAGTTTGTATGTATGGATGGATGTTTGTCACTTTCAAGCAAATACTACTGAATGGTTTCTCTCAATGGAGATAGCTCATACATCAGAATAACGCATAGCTTTTAATTTATATGCTAATTATTATGTATATCTGTCTGGACGTAACGCCTTCAGCCTATTCCACGCAGACGTAGTCGGGGGCAGCAGCTAGACCGTAATGAAAAAATTAAGCGCGTCATGCCTCCCGCGGCATTCGAACTGGGCACGGCTACGCGCCATACGGAGCCTTTGTTGTGCTCACGCGCACCCGGAACGGCGTTGTGCGATTTTTTTTAGATCCCAACGCTCGAAAGCTTCCTGTGGACCTTACTACTGTCGCTAGTATGTGCTCTAACTATATGGTTAGCTTTTAAATAAGTGTAGTTCAATAGCGCACTCGACAAATCCATTTTTCTTAACGAAAAATAAAAGAACAGAAAGACTTCAAGTTCATTTTATAATTGATTTTCTGGAGTTAACTAAGTGTCTCCGAAGCCCAAGATCCGATACCAATGAAGTTACTATGGGACCACATGGGAAGCACCAGCTCTCAATTAAAAAAAGAATCAGCAAAAGCGGTTCACCCAGTCGAAAGTTATAAGGTAGCACACAAAAAAGTACAGTCCAATTGAGAACCTTCTTTTTGGAAGTCGGTTAAAAATACAAGACACAGTCATGTACATAATTTTTTAAGCGAGGTATCAAACGAACTGGCGATACACCCGATGTTAAGTGTAAATACCACCCATGGACATCTGCAACACCCGTTGGGTTGCAGATGCGTTGCCACCTTTTAATAAAGTGGACCCCGATTGCCTCACTCACCAGACGAAACGCAGAAGTGTCACACTTCCAGGTCAATCCTGGTACTTCCCCGAAAAGACCTGCCATTCGTGCAACAGCGAATATTTTTGCGTGCGTGCAGAAATGAAAGTAGCAATTAAAAGTTATAAATGTATGTTTATAACTTCTTAATATCATACTTAATAATCGAGATTAGAGATATCGAGAGACTATACAATATGTAATTATCGAGAAAATTGACAAAACGCGAAACAGTCACCTCCCGCTATATACGCCCTTCCGAGGGATGTCTATACCGACATAACGTTTCAAAAATCATCCGAAAAAAGCTCGTATTGTGCGGGACATCCCTTTCGCGCGCGGAACTGTGCAAAGCCTCCTTTGTGCCGGGCCCATCCTGGCAGCAGCTGAATCCTGTGCCGCAGGCGGGGAGTTGGGGAGAGAACACATGCTATCAGTGCACGGACCTAATTATTCGTGGCGTCTGTTTAAGAGGATCGTCGTCGATGTCGACGATTCCGTAGTCGCTTTGTCTTACGTATTAAGCAAGTACAACGGTAACTACATTTTTGGGTGTAGAGCGGTTGTATTGCGAGAGGAGACTTTATTTAATTTATATTTGCATGCTATTTGTAAGTGTAACGAAACAATTATAACTGTACCATCATGAATCATATCTTGTGTAAATGGCAAATAAAAACATGAATAAAAGTGGTGGCAGACTTGATTTAATACAGCGGGTTCGAACCGCGGTATCTTACACAATATAATTTGCATTTTGTTTTAAATTTCTTATATACATTTCTTCACGTCAAGCTTACTACGACGTATATTACTTACTTGCTTGTAAAAATCGTATTAAGAATGTTTAAAAATTATATTAATATTTTATTATAAAAATATAGTGTGACCACCAGTCTTGGTACTGGCTCTCGTCCGATCTGGCCTCAATTGGAAAAAGTTAATTCAATAAAGAAAACTGTAACATTAATTTTGGCTCAGCACGATCCGCACCGTCGACTTTTTATTGATTATTTCCTAAAATATTTTTTTGAATTTACAAAGCCAGGGGGTTGTTTTTTAAGCCTCCATTATTTTCACCCCGTCATGCCGTCGACCGATTATCGATTTTATTGATTTTTTTTTACTTCGGTCCCATTGTTCACTGTTATATTCGATGCTGGATTAGGGTTGGAAGGGGTGCTTTAACAAAGAGTAGCTAATTTCGGCCGAACTGATCGATTTTTGGCGAAAAAAATTGCACACTTTGAAGATTATTTTTAAGGGGTTGGTATGAATGATAAATACAGCCGTAGGTTTGCCCAGGCAGTATGGTATAATACTCATGGTGTTTCTTTGCAATAGTCTACCTAGTAACGTTTTCCGTTTTCAACCGACTTAAATTAAGGAAGTGGTTCTAGGTCCTCAAAAATAACAATTCGGTAGTGTTTTTAGGGTTCCGAACCCAAAGGGTAAAACGGGACCCTATTACTAAGACTCTGCTGTCTGTCTATTACCAGGCTGTATCTCATGAACCGTGATTGTTAGACAAATGATTTATTTCTGTTGCCGCCATAACAACAAAATACTGAAAAACAGAATAAAAAAAATATTTCATTGGGGCTACCATACATAAGACATAATTTTTTACAGTTTTTATAGATAATGGCGCGGAGCCCTTCGTGCGCAAGTCCAACTCGTACTTGGCGATTTTTTTATATAATAAATATGTCATAACTACAGAGTATACTTCATAGCAATCCTTGCATTACTTATGTTCCGCTGAAGAAAAGAAGTAATGATGGCATACTGATAAACTTCGTTTGGATAGGTCTCCTCATTTTTCCAGATTTAATTGAAAGAGTTTTATTGTGAGTTTCGTGGTTGTCAGCTCAGTCAGCTCAGTGTCCGGGCGCTCGCCTTTAATTCAATATACTCGAGCAACCTGAGTTCGATCCCCGGTGCCGGCACCAATGAAGTTTTTAACTTTAAGTGCTGAATTATCACGTGCTCCGCGGTGAAGGAAAACATCGTGAGGAAACCTGCATATTTTCGAAATAATAACAAACAAATGTATTTCGAAAATATGTGAAGCCCGCCAATCCGCAGTGGGGCCGCGTGGTGGACTATGCCCTGATACCCTCTGTATAGAGGAGGCCTTTGCCCAGCAGTGGGACATGTATAGGCTGTTACTTTACTACTTTACTTTACTTTTCGTGGTTGTCTAGAAATAATTCTGAAAGGCACTTTTGTACAAGTTTCATACAAGTTATAATTTTTAAAATTTGTTAAGTTCTCAGATAAGAAAAGCCTATACTAAGAAGTACTATATACTTTGTTTTTAATGTGAAATTGTTTGCGATAAATTTTGGATGAATGAATCTTAGATGAATCTTTTTTATCACAATTCAAGAGGACCGGTGGATCACTCTGTACGCCGCAACAAACGACACATGGACAAGTGGCCACGCACGCGGCGCCCATATTAATTTGTGCTACCTTCGGCCATTAGCTGGCCAATTATGATTATGCCACGGACAGTTCGCGTGGTGGGTCAAATTGTGTTATACAGTGAATAGTAAACTGCGCTTGAGTTAAGACTTGTTTATTTATCAAAAAAAATGCCAAGTGCGAGTCGGACTTGTGCCTGAAAGGAAGGTATAGATAATGCTATAAAAACGCCAAAAAAATGTCTGTTTTATGGGAGCCCCACTTAAAAAAAAACTTATATTCTGTTTTTTAGTATTTGTTGTAATAGCGGCAACAGAAATAGAAAGAATTCAACTGTACTATCACGGTACAGTAGATACAGCCTGGTGACAGACGGACAGACAGACAGTGTGAGTTGAAGTATAGGGTTCCGTTTTAAGCTCTGGGTACGGAACCTTAAAAATGAATTCAGTAGAGCAATTTTAACATATTAGAGTTGATATTTTTGAATTGTGTACCTACATACGAGGCCGATTATATTTTTGATAAGCTTAAGGATTACTTTAATGTTAATAACAGTACATCTTTTCGTTTGATACTCGATGACCTTAATGATTAAAAGATTCCAACCATGTCAGTGTTATAAGCCCCTGTGTATTTAGGAAATTAGATATGACGAAAGCCCATTTTCAGTACTCATTTGGAGTTAATTTGGATGAAAACCCGATGGAACAGGCATCGTATTATTTTTGGACATTTCAAGAAAACGCCAACTGTGCGTATCACCCACGACGCGAACGACCGGACATTCTTTGTCTTTGCGTCTGTTTCGGGAAGCTTTGTTCCTCGAGGTCACGGCCACCCAGCGAGGTGCTTGAACTCCGCATGTCGCGAAAGACTCAGAGAGCATTGAGGCTCCCAATTATAGTGGACATACGACGACAAGCTTATCACCTGTCATGATAGTAAGCTGCGTGATACAGAGCTGCTTAGTTCTTGGAGATAGTGGCAGGGTAGCTGTGGTAGAGTACATGGTATCGAGTGGCGTTCATGCAAAGGATAGGCAAATAATACAGCAAGATTGGAGTACACGGCGTCTTTGTCAGTTCCAAAACGCAAGTGAAGCACTTAAATAGATGTTCTGCCAAATATCTGATTTATAAGATAGGATATGTCACTTGGGATGTATCGTTACTATGATATGAGCTTAATGCGATTTACGGTACAGCCAAAAATGTGCGGGGTGTCCATGATTGATGTTTGGCATGGGTTCGTAGTTTGTACTACCTATGGGGGAGGTCTATAAATAAAGAAATGATGATAATGATGAAAAAGTTGTTGAGGTTGGCAGAAGTGGGCCGGATCTTTCCTGGCGTGTGTATCAAGTATTCTGCGAAAAATGCAGTTAACGCTTTTGGCACCATGCCGCGTTGTCCAGGTGTTCCAAATCTTGTTTGAAAGAGGTAACATTTTCTTTTAACAGGCCACGTAATTGCTTTAGTTCACATTGTGCTGGTAGACAAATACCCGCTAAGGAAATAAGACGTCAAGAGGAACTTTATAATAGCAGTCTTCGTAACACAAATACAGTTTGCTAAAAATAGAATATGGATAAGTTTTTTTTTTTTAGCTATAATTGTGTATCATAACATTTTTTACAAGGATAGCGATAACTAACCATATATTTATGACTTTATAAAGTTTAGGATTAATTTTAATTAGCCTTTGCATTAATTACAATTAGGCGTCATTGACCTCATCAAGAAAGGTTATTTTGGGCGCCTTGAGTTGTCCATTATCATAAAGCTACTTATTTAAAAAAAAATTCTTTTGCCAACTCCTTTAAACGAAGACCTATTAAGTTAAACTCTCTCACTTTAAAATTGAGATAAGTAGGAGCAAAATGGGAAAGTCGAATATCTGATAAAATAGTCTACTCTCAATATTCAATAGTATGACGTAAATAACCCTAAAAGATATATTGCTGTCATTAGCATTAGTTTGACTGCTAATGACAGCTTGTCCACAATGAACGACGAGCTTCGTTATTCTTTATGAGTTATATTAAGCGTAACGTATACGTAAACACATAACTAAAGTGGCCTGCGAAAGTGGACTATTTTTAACTTTGTATCAGAGGTGAGGTGTACGAGAATCCTCACAATTTGTGAGGATTCTCGTACATGCGTACGCTAAGTATAAATACTTTTAATTCATGACATTTATGTTTAAGGTGTAAGTATTTAGTGTAAGCGAATTGTTTTTGCTTTATCTGCAAACTTTAGTTTTCTAACAGAAGAGTCGATCAACAGAGAACAGAAGGTCTATAACATGAGGGTTGAACTGAGTTATGACTCAATATTATGTGTGTATAGTATGGGCCGATAAAAATTTGCTATCCAAAGAGTACAGTTAATAGATCTAATGTAACTATATCCTCCGTCTTATTACACTCGTGATGGTTTTAGCTCAAGGTTTAAGAAAAATAATTCAACTAGGAATTGAATTCTCTACGTTATGCTCCGGGAGCAGATCCCTCAAATAATTTGTCAATATGAGCAATATTTTAAATGATCTTCGATTATTTATTTATTAAGCTAAGAGACATATTTCTTTGCAATCCGATAGTGTTTACTATTAATAGAGCAATGACGTTTCAGTTGTTAAATGTTTTGTCCGTATTGAAGCTTTACCAACTTCAGTAAATGAACGCGATAAATCAGTAAAAATAGTTTAATTGTCTTTCTTTAGACTTTATGTCGTAGGCTTAACGCCGCGGCTGGTGACATGAGAGCTGGTTCTTTTCTCGCTCAAAGGTGAAGCATAACTATTCAGCGAGGAAATGCAGCTAGCTTACTTTTTCACCATGCAGCGTGGATTGGGTTTATTACATAATATGTAATTTTAGATAGATTTAATCTTGTATATATTAGATCAATAAACTGTATGATATTAAGAAATTTGTTGTTCAATAGAGTATATTGGTTATCGATGACGAAATGGTAGAGACGCTACACGACGGCGAAGTCTGTTTCGGTCGTACGATAGAGTACATTTGCTATCGATCACGAAAAAGAGACACTATACGACGTGCTTGTTGGTGTGATTGGATGATTGCGGCGCGCCGAGGCGTAGGTGCTCCGCGGCAGGCAATTACACCGTTTGTTTTGCCGGCACAACGAAGGCGAGCCGTTGCTACGCGGCAACCGCTTACCGCGACCCGACTACTTGCCAGTTACCGCTGACTTATAATACGTCACTACTTAGGATAGTACAAAGTCGTCCCGCTGCCTGGCTGTCCCTACTTATGCTTAGATCTTTAAAACTACGCAACGGATCTTGGTGCGGTTTTTTTTTACTAAATAGTGTGATTCGAGGAAGATTTATATGTAATATTTAAACCCGAAGCCCGCGCGGGTCGCTAGTACCTAATTACGCGTGTCAAATGTAAGAAGGAGTAAAAAGTAAAGTAAAGTTACAGTGTATGCATGTCCTAGGCAAAGCCAAATGCTGGGCAAAGGCCTCATGTATGCAGAGGGTATCAGGGCTTAGTCCACCACGCGACCCCACTGCGGATTAGCGGTCTTCACATATCTTCGAAATATTTCTTTTGTGGTTATTTCGAAAACATGTAGGTTACTCGATTATACTGAAACAAAGGCGAGCGACCGGACATTGGGCTATCGGATTCACTTGGGTGTTGTTTGAACGTTGCTTTAAGTCGGTTAATGCTATATATATTATGTGAGAAAGTGGCAAACGAGCTGGCGGTTCACCTGATGTTAAGTGATAACCACCGCCCATGAACATTTGCAATACCCATAGGGTTGCAAATGCGATGCTTATAAACGGCCCCGGCTACATCACTCACCAGACTAAACGCAGAAGTGTAATACTTCTACTTTACGCCGGTCTTCTGTGAGGTCGTGGTACTTACCCGGACAGGACATCCTCATTCGTGCAACAGTGAACACTGTTCCGTGGTCCTATTACAGTTAAATACAGTAAAATATATGAACTATTTGATAATATTAGTCACAATGTCAGTCTAAGTGATCAGAAAGTGTTGAAATGAGCGTCGAGGACTAAGTGACAAGTACTGGAGCATTAAGCTCGTATAAACATGTAGTTAATCCAATTGGAAAGTTAAGTGAATGATGGATAAGTTATGGTGAACGATTTCAATTTGTGTTCTGCAATTTACGGAGACTAACTTACAATGTAAGCGTAATACGGTCGACAATTTTTTCTTCTTGAACTCTTAAGTAGACTCTACATTTGAGGTAGAGAAGTGATATTTGTTTAGATATTCAATCTTGCACGGTATTTTGAAAAATTGTTATGACATTTAAAATTGGAATAAACTACACGTGGCATAGATAGAACAAACGAAAGTTTATGCACACCGCTCCTAGAATACAAGACATTATTACCCTAAAGTAGCGTAAATACTTGATCTTTTAGAAACGAAGTTAAAATTATACAAATACAGAGGAGCATTCGATATGCAAAATTCTAAGTAGAAATTCTAGTAATATAAGGAAATAACAGAACAGCTCTGTTTAATTCTAATAAGTTTAGGAATTCGTATACATTTCATATTAGACTGCAATGTTTCAAATTGGGGAAAACTTGGAACGTATCTAGGTGATGCATTTAACTGTGGCAGGGCCACGCAACAGTCTTCGCTGTTGCACGAATAGGCAGGTTCGTCCGGGTAAGTACGACCACCTCCAAGAAGACCGGCGTGAAGTGGATGTATTACACTTTTGCATTTCGTCTGCTAAGCGAGGTAGCTGGGGCCCACTTTTCAAATGTGCGTCGGTTGTCACTTAACATTAGATGAATCGCCAGCTCGCTTGCAACCTTCTCACAAAAAAAATCTAGCCGTTTAGTTAAGTCTTGAGAATCTGACGTTGGTCTCAGATGCTTAAGCAATGAATTAACAGGCTGGCATTTCAAGCCTTCATGTGTTTTAGTAGTTAAAGTTTTTTAATATTAAGGAATAGAAGAATAGATTAATGGACCAACCAACGTCAATTGGAAGTAGAAACGGTACTGAATTTGGAAAATGGAGTACTAATGGTTCTTGTGATGCATGTGACACGACTTCGTTATTGTTGAATAGGATTAGACTCGTACATATCAGCTCGCCTATACGTTAGCTATGAAAATATATCAACTGCCAACGGAACCCTAAAAATCTATCATCGCGTGCGCTGTTCGCTATTCTAAAACTCTTTTATTATTTTCCCGGCAACATCACTGGCGTGGCGATTACAAAATCATGTCCGATAATAACAAGTGTGATAATAAAAGATTTTCTAAAACGATTTTATTATTGTTATACATATCGACATTTTCTCTTGATATAATACATATTTATTTACTACCAATATTTACAATAATAAATCTTCTTCTTATTCTGCTTTTAAAAAACGTTGCCCTTACTTTAGGATAACAAATGGACTGACAAATGAACTTGGACTACCCGAATGGCGTAGTGGGTAGTGTACCTGCCCCCTGCGCCAGAGGGTGTGGGTTCGATCCCCACTACTGGAAAAATATTGTGTGATGAACATAGTGTTTTTCTAGTGTCTGGGTGTTTATATATCTATAATATGTATTTATTTACAAAAAGAAAAGTATGTTTAAGTATGTTTATCAGTTTTCTAGTACCCATAGTACAAGCGTTGCTTAGTTTGGGACTAGAAAATGTTGTGTAAAAATGTGTCCTAACATATTTATTTATTTATTATTATTAAATAAGGTAAATAATGGTAAGGACCATTTACAAACATACATTTCACGTGGACAAACACGCAGATGCGAAACGACTATCTGTGGGTCACACGATGCCGAAGCCGATACTTTGGCAACTGCGCCA